CACATATATATATATATATATATATATACAACGTGAACATTCCTCTCCTCATGGTCAGCATAACCAGACTGACATCACGGCTCCCCTCCTGGGTGAGGTATAGATATCAATTTGTCTCAAGCCAATATATTGTCTATATAGTTAATTTTAAGGGTACGAGGCAATTGATTATTCAACCATTTTTAATTCTCATCTATATGCAAATCACAAGTGACGACCACCATGGCATACGTTGGCACATGTGCCAGACTCGGCAGCTGGGGCTACGACGGGAGGCAATATCGGACCGGGCTGAAGTGGAGTCGACTGTGGTGGGGTGGGGCGGAGAGGGGGGGGTCAGTGACTGAGGCCTTAAAGAAACCTGAGGAGACGTTTTGCTGCCATCATTTAGTTTCTCTCCCTTGCTCGAGTTCTCTCGCTGGTCCGCTATCTCTTTCAGTTGAACCTCAACCGCCCAATCTAGTACAGCTGTAATATGGCCAAAATTGTCTCAATCCCTGGCCCAATCAGTAAAGATTGGAATTTAATCAGCCTCTCAAAACGCGATTTGGGACTTTTTTCACTTTTCAGCTGCTCCATCTTACGCCTCAATATCTCTGCGAGGTCGGCATGTAACTGGAGCCATCTGATCTCTTGCCGGACGAACAGAAATATGGAGGGGCTCTTGTCTACTCAGACTCAAGGCATCACAGTGAATCATATCACCAACTCCACTGCGGAAAGATAGTGACTGCAGACTTGAGGCTGAGACGTCAATGTCTGTGAGAAGGCTTCATTTAACGGTCGAGTCTGCTGACGGCGACAACCGACACAGCACTGGGGCGATCTGACTTCTGATTGGCCTGCCTTCGTGACAGCCTCTCAATAAGACGAGAGTGAGCTGGAGCAAAGGGATGCTGTCGGATCACGGGTCTCTGAGACGCTCTGGCAGTCGTCTGGAGAAGACGGCCAAAAATCAAGGCCTATTTATGCCTCAGAAGAGCGTCAAAGATGCACAAAAACCTCTCGAGATAACAGCACTCTCGGACACCAAATGTCGACTATGAGTGCTGCTCGAAAGCATATGATATGTATTCACCTTATTTCATTTAAGGGAAAGAAAGACTTGAAATTGCATTTTTCCCACAATCTTATGAGTAGCCCTCACAATTCCAATAGATTTCGCATAGCCTTGATAGGCAAAAGGTATGGATATGAAGAGCAACTGGTCTCACTATGATATGAGTAGAGCTGACGTTTCCATTGAATTTCACAAAAGTTGTTCTCATCCAGAGTGGACTGCAGTGTCGTACTCGCATAAGTCTTATC